TAAACGTGTATCAGTTCAAATTAAGACAGAAACACTCTCGATACTGGGTTTTTCAGAGCGTCTTGCTTTACAATTGGGATTTCGTCCCGAACAAAACATTGTTCAAGATCCAGTGCCACCCCATCCCGCCAGCATTTGGATTGCCCTCACAAATGTTCATCTATTGCGATATTGTAGAACCACAAATCGTGGGGAACGTTGTATCTCCACTAATGCGAATAGTTAATATAACTGCTGAAAATTACAATTACGGCTGTCATAAGGATGTTGTGTTCTCCCCAACGCACTATATACCTGTGATGATAAAAGAATTTGAAAATATTGAAATAAACATAAGGACTGATACTGGACAATCAATGCCATTCGAGTTTGGAACATTGAGCTTGAAGCTACATTTTAAGAAATGGGGTGTCCATACCAACAGTACTACGTAAATCAAGCCGGTACTGGCATTGGTACGATTTATAGGGGGTCACCGTATCAAAGAGGTCATGGGATAGGGAGCTGGTTAGGTGGAGTGTTTCGTAGTATTTTACCATTGTTTAAATCCGGAATGCGTGCAGTTGGGAAAGAAGCTTTACGAACCGGTACGAATGTACTAGGCGATATAATCGAGGATAAGCCTATCAAGGAAGCGTTTCAAGATCGAATTCACGAAGCAGGAAGAAATCTAAAACGCAAAGCCGATGAAAAAATTGATACATTGATGCAAGGATCTGGTTATAAAACACCTCACATACCCAAACTTGATCAGTTTAAAATTGCAAGTCGTAAGAAAACTACATCAAGAATTAAAAAACCTACAAAGCCCAAATTTAGTGACATATTTTCAAAGCAATAAACATGGCATTCCTTCACGCGCAGTCTTGTGAGTGCATAAAATCAGAGCTGGATTTGTTCGCACTGCCAGCTACTCAAACAAGTATTGAAAGTGGCGAATGGGTTTTTTACAAACCTTTATCCTCGTTAACCGATGATGCTCCGATAGAATTCGTAATCCCCGGAAGCGGGAATGATTATTTGGATTTAAGTCACACTATGCTCTATATCACGGCAAGAATTGTAAAACAAGATGATTCAATATTGGGTGTTGGAGATGTTGTAGGTCCAGCCAACAATTGGTTACACACGCTGTATAGCCAGGTGGAGATATGTTTAAATCAGAAATTGGTGTCGCCACCTAATAACACATATGCGTATCGTGCATATATTGAAACTTTGCTAAATTATGGTTTGGAAGCCAAAACATCACATCTGGGGTGTTCATTGTGGCACAACGATACACCAAAAAAAATGGACACATTAACAGCAGATAACGTAGGTTTCACTATACGTCAAGCCGCAGCAGCCGAGAGTAACATGATAGAGATGATTGGACATGTCCATGCCGATTTGTTTAACCAAGAAAAATTTCTCATAAACGGTGTTGAAATGAAAGTTAAATTTGTGAGATCCAGAGATTCGTTTAACTTAATGGCTGGTGCAGGTGCAACTTATAAAGTAAAAATTGTCGATGCCAATTTGCTGGTACGAAGAATGAAGATAAATCCTACAATTCTTCTCGCTCACACTAAAGCATTAGAAACGTCCGCCGCAAAATATCCTATTACTCGAACCGATGTAAAAGTGTTAACAATACCAACCGGAATACAGCGTAAATCTTTAGATAACGTCTTCCTTGGACAGTTGCCAAAACGTTGCATAATCGGTTTTGTATCCAATAAAGCGTTTAATGGCGATTACGCGTCTAACCCTTTCAATTTCCAAAACTACAAGATTAATTACATGTCCCTGTACATCGACGGACAGCAAATTCCTTCAAAGCCGTTGCAACCTGATTTCACACGGGCAGGATTATACGTACGGGCATATCATACTTTATTTTCGGGGACGGGTATTCATTTTTTGAATGAAGGAAATAACATATCGCGTTTAGATTACCCTCACGGCTACTGTTTAACTACCTTTGACCTGACACCTGATTTATCCGCTAACGCCACAACACATTGGAATTTAGTTAGGAATGGTTCATTGCGCATCGAAGTTGGATTTCAAGATGCGTTAACTGAAACAGTAAACTGCTTGGTATATGCGGAGTTCGACAATGTCATTGAAATCGATAAACACCGAAATGTTAACGCAGATTTCAACAGTTAAAAGAGAAATCTCAAAATTGCGTACATTGCATAGTCTTACGCACATCAATAAGTTCGAAAAGCAGAAAAATAAATTAAGCTGATATCCTACGTATGATTTCACTAATAATAATAAATAAAAGATCAGTTTATACGAGTCCTTAGCCAGTTTAAATGTTTTCTGCAATGGATGCATACGTCGATATGCAAGGTTTCCGAGGTGCTCTTAATGAGTTTATACCCAAAGAAATTTCGATTGTTTCCTCGGAGGGTCCGAAATGCACAACTCTGTTAATAAAACCCCCTCAAAATTATAGTATTACTGCAACTATGAAAAAAAGAGATTCGATATTTAGAGGATTATTATCATGGCTTAAAGTGGACCTCCGGTCACATTCGATATGAAAATTTTGAAGAGGAACTACGTACCCTGCTACAGCCATTTAGCAAGATCTATGTTAAAGGACTAGAGAAGCAGTACATTCTAAATTTCCTAAACAAACCTATAATAAATGCAGAGGATTGCGGATGCCCTTCTTTAAAGAAGCTGAAGAAAGAATTTGGAGGCATTAGGTGCTTGAATCATAACAGTGAAACTTTAATGTGCTCGCAAGAAAACGCTTTAATGCTATACGAATGGACCCAAATTAGCTCCACCGATGAATTCCCTAGAACTTCAACGAGCCCTGAATCACATACAGGATTCTGTAAGGCCTGGTGTTTTTGCAGCTGATAAATTACCAAAATTTATTCGTCGTCCATATGGACTTATAGTCAATACAGATGTTTCCACCAGACCTGGTCAACATTGGAACGCTATCTACATCGATAAAGATGGAATTGGCGAATTCTTTGATTCCTTCGGAAGGTCTCCATGTGGCCTTCATTTAAAATTTTTGAAAGCCAACTCTAGACGTTTTACATGTAACTATAAAATGTTACAACATCCCCTTTCGACTTTTTGTGGCCAATATTGCTTGATGTACTTAGTTTTTAAAATGAATAATGTTGCCACTAGCGATTTTGTAAACATGTTTAATGATAACTTAAAGTCTAACGACGACATCATCCGTTTATTGTATACTGCTACGTTTTGTAATATAAATTTGTTTACATTTAAGGGTTGATACTAATAAAGACAAGTTAAAATCGTTTAAAGATCGGTTGATTTTTTATAAAAAAGTATCCCTTTTGAGTGAGGTTCATAAATATGGTTTAAAGCATAGCGGTCGACTACGTGACCACGACCCTGGAAAAACTCGAGGTCAAAGTCCAAGACCACGACCTTGGAAAAACTCGAGGTCAAAGTCCAAGACCATGACCTTGGGGAGGTCAAAGTCCAAGACCATGACCTTGGGAAAAACCCAATGCTACGACAAGTTCATAGTCCAAGGCCATGACTTGAGGAAACCCATTGCAATGGCCTCGGGAAATACCCAAATAAGAAATGTACGCTCTAATTTCAGTTAGTATTTGACTACCGACTCCTTAACATCACCTAACGTATTGTTACAAGTTTTATTAGCCTCGCATAATCTACTGCAGTTTACGTAATTATACAGTGCTAATCTGTGCATCTCTCTCTTTCTTATGTGTTAGGGAGGTGTGTGTGTGTGTGTGGATAAACTTGGAAAAAACAAGGATTTTCAAACAAAAACTAAGAAAAAGTAAGTACACAAATATTTTCTTGTTTTGCTTGCTTCTCGCTTTGCTTTTTCCTCTTCTTCTTCTTTGTAAAATTTGAAATGTATGGATTACCATTTTCTAAGAGTATGTACTTAGATTAGGTTTGTAATACAGCATCTCTTATTTTTCTCTACACCTCTCTCTTTTAAATTCGCTAGGAAAATCCCAGAGCACAATTTTAGTCCAAACTCAAATCCCAGAATCCAAATCACACAATCTCAACTCAGCATCCAAGACCACGACCTTGATCCAGAATCCATAATCACAACCCTGCCGCAGGATCCAAGACCATGATCCTGTACCAAAGTCACGATCTTGGAAAAACCTCAAAACCATGATCTTGAGGAAAACCCCAGGCCACGACCTTGGGGAAAACCCAAAGCCACGACCTTGGGAAAAACCCAAAGCCACGACCTTGGGAAAAACCCAAAGCCACGACCTTGGGAAAAACCCAAGGTCACGACCTTGGGAAAACCCAAGGTCAGGGAAAAACCCAAGGCCACGACCTTGGGAAAAACCCAAGGTCTCCGTGACGTCACAGAAAGTGGTGGGGGTAAGTGTCGGCATTCTACTTACTTGCGATTAAAATCACTGCCAACTACATAATTTTCAATCTGACAGGTAATTATTTGATCATCATGAGCCAGCCAGTGTTCATTTACACACAAAACATCCAAATTTGTGTACTGAGACAAAAAAATTTCAAAGTCTAGCATTTTGTTAGCCAACCCTTGAATGTTTAAATGCAGTAGACCAAAAGAATTCCCTATACCTAGTTTAGTGCATGTGCTTTTTGATTTAATTTAATTTTAATTTTAATTTTATCCCTCTCTTGTTTTGGGCCCTCAACAGGCATGCGCCCAATTACAGAGTGACCCGCATAATGCCATTTAGAGGTGCCTCTGCAGAAGGTCTTAAGTTGGTCTATACAAGTCCGGTATTTACCTTACGAATTAGGAAAACTGCAGGAAAACCTAATTCGGAGTAGCCGTTCACGAATGTAGAAAGATAGCAAGTGCATGTTAAATAATTGAATGGTATGGAAAAGTGACATTATCCACAGTCCATTACCATACAACGCTTAGAAATCGATTTCTGTGAAAGTATCTGGATTTGGTCATGTGATGCTGAAATTGGAAAAGTTCGGACGATAGTTTTACATTAAATCGTCTTGTGTGCTAAGCGTTTATTGGGTAAATTATATGCACGCTAATTTCGTATAACGTGTCTGGGGAAACAATTCAGTTTGTTGGCTAAAGTATAATATAAATAGTATGGTCAGATAACGCGGTTGTACGGCAAATTGCCTATAGTATGACATTAGCCATACAGTATTTGCAAGAAATCCATGATAAAGGTTATCGCATTGACACCTTAGGGCTGCATCTCAATTATGTATGGCCCCGAACTAATGCTATTCTTCTTCCCATTTTTGGAAATTGCTACTTCTCTACGTTTGTATAGATTGTGTGCAACTATGATTAGGCATATTGAAACCAAGAGAGGTAATAAGGCACCCATAGTATCCAAAGCAAAATCTAAAAGCACTCGCATTTTGGATAAGCACCAACGATGTAAATTACCTAGAATATCGTCCTGAAAGTTTATGACCGTGTAGAATAGATAGAAGAAACAGCAAAATCCCCCTGAGCCACCTAATACCATGAGGGCGGTAAGTTTCTTTTTAATTATCGCGTCTAACACTTGCGGCTTTAGAATCAGCTCAACGTAAAAAACGAAAATGCTGCTTAATGCTGAAACTATGCGTTTAGTTCAAATTTCCTACTACGGTATACCTACCCGATATACTAGAGGCGACTATATACCAAATCTCATAATACGAAACGATTACAAATGTAAGCGATGCCGCATTTGTAACCAATAGATAAATCAGTAAGTAGAGAATGCTGCGACTGCCCTTCATTTCACTTAGCTTCACTTTCATTCTGGTTTCACGGTTTATCAGTTATCATTATAGCCTGTGAGGAAAGTTCAATATTTGCTCGGGACGTTTTACAATACCTCATAATTTTTATGGTGAAGTATCATCAAATACGTGAGTGTTACATGGAAACGTACCAGGTTCATATTTTGCAAAATCCTTCAGGGCCCCAAAACACTGGGAAAAGACGAATTTGTAAAGGCAACTCAGACAAATATCGGCCGTGTGATTTGCGATATCGCTCAACATTTACTACCTATATGGAATTAATGTGAAGGTTTTCAAAACAATTTAAATTCATGTGGTATAAATAGGCAAACAGAAAGGTAATTACATAAAGTAACGAGTATTTGTTATGACTGCGCGTTTGCATATAAGTAGGTACATATGAAGCCCAGAAAGTTCATTTTTAAATGCTGGATCAAGTATTTGTTTCAAAATGCCCTGAATTTGAGTGTATTCAGCGGTTTGTAATCTTTATGGGACTTAAAAGTAAGTACCAGAGTTAACTAGTCCTATAAACGTACAGTAATGTTTTGCAAGTAGAAAGTCGGAAATGTATACTACCTACTTATCTAATTTTCATTGTTAATTAATTTATTATTATTATCCACGCGCATATAGCGTGAAACTCAGTAGTGCAATTGAAGCTTTGCACACTTGCTGCATTCATCTGATGGTCTCTCCACAAGCTGAGCTCTGAGAGGTACCTATTACGGGGGTAAATCGTAGATTTAATTGTTTACTTCAGGTTCCATATTCGTCTAATTAATTTACTTCCAGGTATACAATTTTTAAATAAGCGAAGGAAATATCAAAGTCTCGATAAAAATTGTAGGAAAATTCTTTCCGGAAAGTTTGATCCCATACATTTTTGCCTTCGGAAATGCGCCTTCAGGGTAGTCGTCCCAAAGATAAATCGTTTCCCAGTAAATTCCCCCTGAATAGTGCGCCCCTGCCTCCGCAATATGAAATCGGAACATTCGTCCCCGTCACCAAGAGGATTTCATCATAAAATGTACAAGAAAAACTCGAGGAAAAACTATGAATTTGCCTTCAAAGAATGTTTCCCTACTTCCAGGAAAATTTACCTTAGAAGACTGGCCGCTGATGAAATAGTCGTTCACCACGAACCCAAGACACAATCGTGTACGAGAGCTAGGCTCCAAGGGTCGAAATTAAGAAAGCTCGCCCTCAATCAACTACATCTATTTCTTTAAACCAAAATGGCAAGGTTATTACTAATTCTGAACACGTTGCTAATATTTTCAATGACTATTTTGCTTCCGTTGCGCATGAATGTAGAATAAACATACCTCCAACATACGAAACTACGAAAGTTATCCCATCATCACCAAATTCTTTCTATTTGCTGCCTGTCACAAAAACTGAATTGTTCAATATTCTAAATAATTTAAATAATACGTTAGCTTGCGGTCACGATGGTATTCCTATAAAAATATATAAAGAAGTGTTTGATGAAATATATCAACCTTTGATTTACTAATGTAATTAACCTTTCTTTCTCTTCTGGGACTTTTCCAAGCCATGGTAAAATTGCAAAAATTAACCCACTTCACAAATCAAAATCTAAATCAGAACCACAAAATTATAGACCAATTTCGATCTTAAATTCCGTATCGAAAATACTAGAATCTCTCATAAAAGTTAGATTAATTGCCTTTTTGGAAACCCATAAATTGTTTAATAGTTCACAACATGGCTATAGAGTAAATAAATCAACTACCACAGCTTTACAAAGTATGTTACACTACATACGCACTGCGCATAATAATGGCAAGGTTGTAGCATCGATAAGTTGTGATTTGTCGAAGGCTTTCGATCTGGTTGATCATGACTTGTTACTGGACAAGCTATACTCATATGGCATTAGAGGCGTGACGCTAAATTTATTGAGATCCTTTATTAGTGATAGGTCACAATATGTTGCAGTTGAGAAAATTTCTTCCCCGGGACAAATTATTGAAGTTGCATCCGAATTAAAACCAATCAAGTATGGTGTACCCCAAGGATCTATCCTTGGTCCTATATTATTTATAATCTTTATTAATGACCTATTTAACTGCTTCGATCCATCTTCATGTGATATCACCACATATGCAGATGACACTAGTGTGAGTGTGGCTTGTTTTGAAGAAGAGTTAGAAATTAATTTAAAACGTGCGTTATCAACTCTTATTAATTGGTTTAATGCAAATAAACTTTTACTCAATTTGGAAAAAACAAAAATTCTTCTTTATAAGAAAAATATGGGTTTGGATATCGCTCCACTGCGTTACCAGTCAGTTCAATTAGAAAGGTGTCAATCCTGTACCTTCTTAGGAGTTATTATAGACACAGAACTTAGTTGGAAAGATCACATTGACCATCTGAGAGCAAAATTACATTCATCGATTTTCGCATTGTCCCGTTGTAAAAATTTATGTGACCATAAAACCCTTTTGCAAATCTACTATTCAATATTTGAAAGTAAGGTGCGGTACGGTATCTCATTATGGGGAAATGCTACTAGTTATAGAATTGCTAGCATATTTAAGATTCAAAAAAGAGCAATCAGGGTAATGTTTTCGCTACAGAAACGGGAATCCTGCAAACCGTATTTTAAAAACTTTCAGATTGCAACCGTCTATTCATTATATGTGCTTGAATGTTTATGTTTCGTATTCAAAAACAAAAAATTATTTTCATTAAATTGTGATAACCACTCATATAATACGAGAACGAAAAATAACTTTTCTATAATGAGATCAAAAAGTAAGGTGCATAACTCGTCCTACCTACAGATGGGGGTGAGATTTTATAATGTCCTTCCGGCACATGTCAAATGTATTACAATGTTGGCTCCTTTTAAAAACCAAATTAGAAAAATTCTTCAATCAATGGTGCTATACACACTGGATGATTTCTTTACGAATATCAAAAATGCTAGTCATATTTAAAAAAAAAATATATATATATAAATAAATTTTAATATATATACCTATTTACATTTCTTTTTTATAGATATATTTATATTATTTATTGTACTTTATTGTGTTTTTTATTTATGTTGTTATTGTGTGACAGTTACACCACATTCGTGGTTGAAATAAATGCTCTCTCTCTCTCTCTCTCTCTCTCAACTTTAAAATTCCATCCTATTTCTGTGGACAGGGAAAATTGACTTGAGGGTGAATTTTCGGAATAGGGCTTCCGGAACAAATTTATACCTCACGTGTGTGTACAATTGTTCATCTTACGGAGAAAGGGAAAGTAGCCTTTAAAATATCGGGTTCAATTGTGGCCGTTTTTAATTGCTTATTGGGTTGGTTCTGTTTTCTAGTCGAATGGTTTTTGGCAGGGTTTTTGGGTATCCCTTTGCCGATTTTTAAGATTTTTGTAAAATTTCTAAAAAATACGACGGTTCCTCTGTTATTTTTCGTAATAGTAAACATAATTTAATTACCACACGTTGTTTTTCAGCTACAAAAATAATTAAACAAACAAGCGGTTAACGAAAAATCACCACGTGACCTCACGATCTCACGTGGCGATTCCAGTCGGCAAACCACTGCAGAAGCTCCAACAGCGGAACCCATCCTCTTAATGTTAAGGCGTAGCGCCACGCTCATCTGCCCCTGGAACCCTCGTTGGGGGAGGGAGATGAAAATGTTGGTTGGTAATGACTGGACCTTTTTTTTTTACTTTACTATGCTCCATTGTTGTGAAAACACGTTTAGAATATTTGGGGTCGGTTACAGACACACATATGGGAGGAGTTGCCTACAGATTCAGGCGCTAACGAACCAGTTTTATATTCGTATGATGTTTTCAGTGTTTCAGCTCTGTCACATACGTGTTAATGGCACTCAGTGGAATAATCTGGGCCCTTTCAGTGCGGGTTGTCTATCCATTTTTGTGCTGCTATGTAGCTACGTTAGTTATGGTTTGTATACCTGGACTAAACAGCCTCTCCATGCCCAAAACAGACAAATTATAGTTAACTGTTAGTTAATTGACTTCGGGGGCTATTAATATTCCTTTCCTCCGATACCAACACAAAATCCAACTTTGCGGCGGTTGCCTCTTGTGCTTGGGTTTCTCGGCCCATTTGGGCACCCACTTTTCATTTGGAATCGATCGTGCCCAACCCCACTTGGATAGATCGTGTACTGATAACTGTACTGTAATGAGTACCAAAATCCCTTTATTTTGGAATTAACATTAAAGGTATTTGTTATACAAAGATCTGGGATTTTGAACATACAATAACCCAAATGAAACCGCCCGGGTAAGCAGGTCGAAGGACGTGCTGCAAATTTTGGTGTAGTCGATTTTTGGTTAAAAAAAAAGGAAGGTTATACACTGCCTTTTTTTGAGCCCCGAAAAAAAAATTGTCTCAGATCGACCCGAAAAAAAATTTCTTATAGAATGTGGCCTGTAGAATCCATAATTTCAAACAGTTCCAAGATTGGGCTACTAGTTCAAAAGTTACAGCCCTTTGATTTTTTTTTCGAAATTGGTTTCTAGTCTATAACTTTTGATTGAGAAGTCTGATCGAAAAAGTACGAATTGATTTGGATTCTACGCACCCAAATTAATAAGAAAAAGTGTTTTCCCAAGAAATTTTGGTGTAGTCGATTTCTGGTAAAAAGGGAAGGTGCCTTTTTTTGAGCCCCGAAAAAAAAATTGTCACAGATCGACCCGGAAAAAAAAATTTCCTATAGATTGTGGCCTGTAGAATCCATAATTTCAAACAGTTCCAAGATTGGGCTACTAGCTCAAAAGTTATAGCCCTTTGAATTTTTTTTCGAAATTGGTTTCTAGTCTATAACTTTTGATTGAGAAGTCTGATCGATAAAGTACGAATTGTTTTGGATTCTACGCACCAAAATTAATAAGAAAAAGTGTTTTCCTGAGAAATTTTGGTGTAGTCGATTTCTGGTAAAAAGGGAAGGTTATATATACACTGCCTTTTTTTGAGCCCCGAAAAAAAATTG